CATATGCACATGCACATGCACATACACATATGCACATGCACATGCACATACACATATGCACATGCACATACACAAGCACATGTACATGCGCATGCACATGCACATGCCTATGCACATGCACATGTACATACACATATATGTCACACGCTTGCAAGACTCATACACACACATACGTATACACATACACATACATCGCACGCACACAAGATACATACACTCAGACATGATATACAGACAAGAGTCAGGAAGCCATACCTCAGCAGTACTCAATGCCTTGGCCGATGCCACAATGGTACGGATTGTCTTCTGCAGCACATCCACCATGGGAGACCATTCCGACACTGTGACAGAGAGTTATGTTTGTAGAATCTGTGAGTGTGTGTCAGTGTGAGCCAAAGGATCGGTCCTGCCTCCGTTTTTTAAAAACAAAGTAAAATAAATAAATATGTATGGAAATATTCTTGGAATTCAGCGGTGCAGTGAACTACCTCTTTGATTAAGCGCTTTCGGTCCCCGCGGCGCCCTAACCGTGTTTTATGTTCCTTTTGTTTATAAAAAAAATGAACTAAAGAGTATTCAGCATACCTCTCTCTTTCGAATTTTAAAATCTGTTAATGAAATCTGCATGATTTGCGGTTCTGTGAGGGAGGAAGCCTGACCAATCAATTATGCGCTTTTTATTAATATTATTCTAAAATAAAGTATAAACCCTGCTCTTGTTCAGATACTACAGTCTACAGATTCATCAGATTTGCCGCACGCCCTGGATACATTCATCAGCATGTTCATTCACAAGAGAGAGAAGAGTGCTATGTTACGAGAAGCCGTCTATAATACACCAAAGCAACGTCATATTATAACAGTAAAGCAATAATAATTATTATTGCAGATACCATTCACCATTCGTCGACATTAGAGCCTCGAAGATAACCATCACTGATCACAGTGATAATTTCACAACAAGTAGTTCACGGTCAACCATGGCAGATAATTCATAGACCATCCACTGTCATTCACATACGAGTAAGACAACGCATATATACTTACGAAAGAATTGAACCTTATATTGAATAGAAACTATCACTCGTTGCGAGCAATTGACGCGCTCTCGCTTGTAAAGAACACAATGAAGACTCTTAACTACTTCGTCGTTATAATATGGACTGCGTTCGTGGTTTTTTCACACGTAAATGGACTATCCTCCGAGCACCTCACAGTCACTGAAAGACAACTTAGGCAAGCTGATCCATGTAATAAAGAACCGTGTGAGAGGGGAGTATGTGTGGTATCAACGGTAGGTATAAATATTGTGATAAAGTATAACATATTCATGATATTCTAAATGATAACTAGGAGCTTGAATACAACAGGCTTCTATCGATCTATCACATGGTCATTATATACTCGCATTTGCATTGACTTTAGCATATAACGGCGTACATACATAATGCAAACATACAATATACTTGTCATAT